ATAAGCCAACCAATTAACAGAATGAAAATGTATTAGCTTGGTTTCTTTCATACAATTATTTGAGTACAAAATTTATTTTTTATAATACGTCAACTAATTAATTAACTAATTAATAGAACGGAAATAATGCACAAGCTTGTTATCATTCAACGAATTACTAGAATTTAAAATACTTTAGCTTATTCTATTCTCTCTGTTTATTTTAACTGTTTTTTAACTGATGATAGGAAACCTGCATTTTCAAAATCTGTGCGCGTCTCTCTCTCTTTGTTTATTTATGGCATCATCTCCTCCGGAGCGGCGGGGAGTTGAGTTTCGAGAGAGGTTCATCCATATTCCTAAAATTCATGGGAAGCCATTTCGACCATTCTCATATTTGTACGACTTTAATCAGATGATATATTAATTAAAAACTCTAAAAACGCTAATTTTCGCATCTATTTTTCTGAATGGCAATTGCCTCGCACGCTGTAGATGGAAATATGCTTTATATCGAAAAGTGTTGCCACTCCTCGCTTTCGAATCGTAGAGTTTGTTAATAAAAACTTTGTTAAGTTTTACAAAATATGAAATAAAAATAGCATTGCCAAACATTAAATATATTATTATTGTACAAGGTCAGATTCTGACGTTGAAGAAAGCACGCGATTGCATGTAACTTCATTGTATGACGAAAGTTTTTCCTTAATGTCAGCATTATAAACTGCTGCTATTGGCAACTTTTCTGTTTCAGGTTAGAATACTTGACACGGCATGTTATTGCCAGGTTAATTCTTTTATTGATATAGAGAAAATCTTATATTTCATTCAATTTAATTCATGACGTCGTACGTATTAACCTGAGGTGCCAAAAGTTTTTGTTTCCTGGTTTGGCAGAAAAAAAAAAAAAAAAAAAAAAAAAAAAAAAAAAAAAAAAAAAAAAAAAAAAAATATTACGAACTGGTTCTTGCTTGGAAATAATGAACCGATTTCATTCGCGTTGAGATTGTTAAATGCATTTTCTTTTTCAGGTGCGCATAGAACTTATAAATTTTGCTTTTTTCGCAGCCCACTCATCACTCATCTGGCGAGCTTACTCGCTGGTTTTATTATTTAATTTTCTGTAATGAGTTATAAAAATTTACAACGGTTTACATTTCATTGGTTAATATAGCTTTAAAAGTACAATTTCTTCATGAATTTGTGCTAGATTACACTCGTTATTTGATTCATCTATGAAAATTATACTTTTTTTTTTATATTTATATTTATATTGTGATTAAAAATATTGATGTTACTCATATCCTATTCTTTTTCATCAACTAAATTAAGTAAATACAAAATAAAATTCATCAGATTTTTCAAACATATTACTTTTGTTTCAATGTAATAGATTCTGCAGCCTATACAGGCGTGTTTCACATATCCTCCTGAATTTTCTGAATCTTAATATTTTTTTTTTTTTTTTAATTTCAAATCTATCGAACATCTTTTATAATAAGAACGAAAAGAGAAAAATATATTGCACTTATAATTTGCATTTAATACAAATTGAATTTAAGACAGCAGTTTTTGTTAATACTCTGATATTTATTAAGAAGCTGCAAATGAAATTTAATTGAAGTATGCAATATGTGTTGAAATTTTAGATTTATTTTCTAGATATAATTCAACAAAATACATTTGAATTACAGCTCAATTTTTTAATATTTGGCTTTAAACATTTTAAATCAATTGAAATGAAGAGTAGGAAGTATTAAGAAGATGAAATTGAACTTTAGTACAAGTACCTGATAGTCCTGAATCTTGAGGTTAATTTTTTCAATGAAATTAAGCACAATACATTTGAGTATCAATTTAAAGATTTGTATTTAAACATTTTAAATCAAACCAAATGTACAGTAAATATAATTTTTAGAGCTCTTACATTTGAATGCGAAATACAGAGCTCTTAGTTCTCCCTAAAAACTAAGAATTTGTGATTCATGATTGATGTTCTAAGTAAACTGAAACTGCAGCAATGGATTTAACGAATGCTCCTATAATAAATAAGATTAATGTTTCAGAAACGTTCATTTAAAATGTTTAATGATTTTTTTAGGTGTAAATACGAATAATGGAAAAAGCTTGAAGTTTCGTGCTTTCTAATTTGGAATTTTTTTAAATATTCTTAGAATCTGATGCTTGGAAAATACCTTTCCTAATTCTCTAGATTCGCAATTTAGTGCTTCAGGTATTTTAACTCAAAATTTTAATTTTAATTTAGGAAGCATTCTTTCAGCAGTAAGATTTAGCATTCTTTAATCTTATTGCTGATTTTTGCCTTACTTGGATTGTAATTCAAGCTTTTAATTCCTGGGTATATGTTGATTGATACCTTTATAAGCTTTTGCACTGATTTAATTTCTTAAAACATTATTTACAACAATGCACGGATACAATTAAAAAAGAGGAGACAAGAAGATGTCAAATTTAAATTACTTATGATTACCTTTATATTGTCTACTTCTATTCATTATTTTACGCTTTAAAGAGCCTAACGTTAATGTCTTGGAATCCTCTAAATTATTGTCATTTTGAGTATTTTATAAGTATAGTTTTAGTATAAAGTCTAAGTATAATAATAATATTTAAGTATAATAATCTAGCTAAATTGAAAGTCCTTGGCAGCTAAAATACTTAGGAACGGTGTAGCAAATTCTAACTGAGTTCAAGTGAAAAAAAAAGTCCATAGAAGTGTTAAATTATTCTATTATTCAACTCATTAATAAGTCACAGATGTCCCCTCTTTGGGCTTAAAGGAAGTCTCCACTTGGACTTTAGATAGACACTTAAGATAGAAAATAACTAACTAATCTAATGCTAACTAAACTAAAAACTAGTCCAAGCTGTATAGAAATAACTAACAGAGTTAGCTAATTCAAGCTCACCGGAGAATACTAAAAGGCACCTAACAATACGCCGAACGTAATAAGATTTGGTTTAAAGCTATGACATAGCCAAAGTCAGAGTACGCTCTACTATGAACTTCTAAGCTCTTCTACTGAAGTGATGAACAGTTCAAATTAAATACTAGTTCTACCTAATTTACATAAAACGCGATCTTGGAAACTCATTCTGGCAGTGAATTTTAGGTGGGAAAACGAGAAATTAAAAGAAAGCGTATTTAAAAATAAAAATAACTATTAGGAAACTAAAATAAGCTTATATATAGCAGTGAAAATCCTTCTTAGCAGGTTTTGATATACAAGTGTAATTATCCAATGAGAAATATTTTATGTTAAAAGCTGCATGGAGTCTGTTACTGTGCTACGAAATGCGAGAATCCTAAAAATGTTTATAGAGATTTGAACAAATAGTTACATATTTACATAATCTGCAAAAGTATTATATATAAAATTATAAACTGTATCAGCATTTCATTCGATAGTACATTTTTAGCAACAGTTCTATGTAAATATGTTGATAACAGTTTAAAACTAATAGGCTAAGGCTTTATGTAAGCACAAATTTGTATCTAATGTATACTATTATGACGGTTACTTAAGCGTCTCACTTTTCGGTCCAATGCAGACTTGAATAATGTGAATTAGTTTTTCTACTGAAGTGATGAACAGTTCAAATTAAATACTAGTTCTACCTAATTTACATAAAACGCGATCTTGGAAACTCATTCTGGCAGTGAATTTTAGGTGGGAAAATGAGAAATTAAAAGAAAGCGTATTCAAAAATAAAAATAACTATTAGGAAACTAAAATAAGCTTATATATAGCAGTGAAAATAGTTACATATTTACATAATCTGCCATTTGTGCAAGCTGCCATTTGTGCAAGTACGCAATGAGTAAACAATAATATATTACCCAATTTTAACAATTTAGGTTTCCTGTAAAGCTTCTATTATGTTTGCGAAAGACAAAATAAATTGAAAAATGTTTTATCTGCTTAATAGTTTTAAACTGAGCATACGAAATTTTTAATACTTTTTATATATATTTTTTGAAGTAATACGTTTCATTGAGATTAGTTAAAACCAAACATTTGCGTTTTTATAACACAAAAATGTAAATAACGTCGTCAAATGCTAGTACAACTGGCATATTTGAACGAAATACTGCTTAGCTTTATATATATGACCGTTAAATAGAAAAGTCCACTGTTTCAGTTCTAACATTTTCGAATAGACATTTTAGTAGCCCCAACAAAAATGGAAACTAAAATTAAACAGGTTTTCATTATTAACCATGTGTTTATATCTTCACAAGGAATCATTAATTCCCAAGCTGCAAAAGTATAAAAAATATCAATCACTTCAGAAAATAATAAACATTTAAATTTTTGAAGGAATAACTAATCATCACATATGTGATTTGAAAATAAAATATCACTTTCTGCATTAATTTAATTCTAAAAGTGTCAATGATAATTATACTTACATTTAAATTGCAATTTATATTTTTCGCATATATATTTATTAAATTAGGAAGAAAAACTACATCGATTAATAACAAGAAAGCTATCTGCTTGGTGCTCTAGATTAATACAAGAACCATAAAACCTACAGAAGCTGATAAAATCGTGTTTTCATTTAGTCGTTCCAAAAAGTTCCATAAATGAAATATCAAAGGCTTAATCGAAAACATAAAGCCAAGGCAGAGTGTGTTATCAATAAATATATTTCATATTCTTATTCTTTGGATACTCGTAATTGCATTCAAGCATTAATTTCAGCAGAATTTCTGATTAAAAGAAGGAAACAATGTCTCTTTAGCAAAATATCAAATCCCAACGTATTTTCGAATTTGTAATAGGCTTTAGAAATGTTCAAAGTAACTGAAAAAAAAAAAAAAAAAAAAAAAAAAAAAAAAAAAAAAAGAAAAATGAAATCTGCGTCCGCAGAAAAAAAACGCCGTCAAAAAACTTTACACTTATCCCAAACAGTAAGTGTTGTAAAGATACCAATCCCCCCCCCCCCGAAAAAAAAGGAGAGGGAGAAAACTTTCTTTTCTATGATTTACTTACCTTTCTCTTCATGTTTCTTGTAAGAATTCTGTTGGTGACCGTTCCGCAATTTTTCCGACTTCGAGTGATATATGTCGACGCCTTGCGAATTCACGATTGACGATGGCGGAGGAATTTCTAAAAAGGGGGGAATAAAGAAGACATTATAATAAAAGTAAAAGAACATGATAACATAAAGAGACCTATGTAAAATAAAACTTTCTTTGGGATGAGAGTTTTCTACCGCAGATACCGCTTTCTGCTACCGAGAACATGTAAGGGTTTTGAATATCTTTTAAGTATATGCATTAATCATGAAAGACTGGAGAGAGAGAGTTTGGAAACCGAGCCTAGTGATCGTAAGCGATGGAAAAGCAGAGATCTGCAATCAGAAAAAGAAGAGAAGGGCATTATGTTGTAGTCGGATGGGAGAGTAAGGGAACATAAATAAAAATAAAGAGTTATGTCAAGATGTACAGCCCAGATTCGTGATAAAATCTCATTTTGTAACATTTCGTTTGGTTTCTTTCCTTTCCTTTTATTCTTTCATAGCACTTTTCTTCTAATATGAAAAGTAAAATCAGTTTTGAACTTTTGGCTTTTAAATTTGCAAGTTACTTTTAGTAATGCATAACTTTGCACACTGCTAAAGCTACCTTTATAGGGTGCTCATGTCTTTAATTGAAAACATAAAAGTGAAATGAGGTATTCTTTACTAGGTTATTTGACGATTTGCTATTAGTTCGTATGTACATGTGTTCTGTATTAGCCTGTACGCATATGAGCTTTATATTATTCTCTATGTACATGAGCTCTGTATTAGTCAGTATGTGTATGAGCTCTGTCTTTATAAGCATATGAGTTATGTATTAGTCTGTATGCACATGGGTTCTGTATTATTCTGTATACATGTGAGCTCTATATTATTCTGTATGTACATGAGCTCTGTATTAGTGGGTATGCATATGAGCTCTGATTAGTCTGCATGTATATATGAGATCTATATTATTTTATATATACATTAGCTCTGTATTAGTCTGTATATATACGAGCTCTGTACTAGTCTGTATGTATATGAGCTACGCATTAGTTTATATGTACATGAGCTCATGCTATGAGCAGCTATACTTTAATTCATTCTTAGATATATGTTAATTCGATAGACGATCTCTTTGTATTTTGAGAGCATCCAAATATATTTTCTCTTCCTTTATCTAAAAAAAAAAAAAAAAAAAAAACGTATTCTACACTATCCTGTTAAGGCAAAATTGCAGTATGGTTGGGCAAAAAACTATAAGATAAAAGCAGGAAAAATTTAGACACTGTAATTAAATCATCAATGAAAGCTGATAGATTTCCATGCGGAAACACTTCAAAGAAAAACAACTCAGAACATTTTTTGCATCATTTTATAGCTAAGAGCACATTTAAAGTAAAGGAAAATACCTTTTTTTGTTGCTTTAAATGTACTCTTAGCAATTTTAGAAATTTAGAAACTTTAAAATGAATTTCAGAAAGTTAGAAACTTTAAATGAAATTTTAGAAACTGTAAAATGTTCTAAAACAATTTTAGGTATATTAATTTCCACATTTTTAATAGGTGATTAGTATACAAACTCTCTCAACCTGACCGGTCTTGAAATGCTGAAGTCTTTTTGACACATTTGCAGCAGAAATCACAAAGAACACAGTATTCTGATAAATCGTTGGAAATTAAATTTCAGACGCACAGAATTTTTCAAATCTGTTCTCCTGCAAAATGTATATGAATGTATGTATATATGAAACTACATGGAAATAAAACTCACTCTTATAATAATTACATATTCAGATTGGAATATTACACTTCAGGTAAGACTGAACAGCAAATTTCTTGCTGCTTCGTAATTTTCAAATTGAATAATTTTGACTCAGTCCTAATTATTGTTAATTGATCAGAAATTTGTTTATTTCCCTTTAAAGGTCACATAATTTCCTATAAATGCCGATAATTACTTAATGATTTAGCTGCATTTTTCTCTTTTATTTACTCTATTTTAATATTTAATTTTAAATATGCTTTCCAAAGGATATAATATGTTCAATAATCTACTAGAAAATAAATTATTATTTTATTACTTTGAAGCTTTATCACAGGTATTAGGTAATTTATTACTAATAATTACTTTATATATATAATTTTACATAAGTTTTATTTAATTTTAGCATTTTAATAGCCTTAGTAATGACCAATAGTAAAACCTAAAAATACGTAGCAAAAGTTATTTTATCTTACGGCAGTAAGATATGATAGATAGATAGATTCACAGAAGAGATAGATTCACTGGAAACATGGAAAGATACAGTTGACCATTTGCTTGAATGGTTTCGCGGAGGATTCTCAAAACAAAATAGTTTGTAATCACACTACACACGATAAAAATAAAGAGCATTTTTATTAATATGTCAGTAATAGATTTCTGGATAAATTACCAGGCTTTTGTAGCCGATGGTTGTCTAAAAATATCTGGAAACTTTTCTATGAAATATCAGATGTAGTTTCTCGGAAGTATTTAATGGATTAATGTATTCTCATAGAAACTTTTAGAAACATTTCTTAAACTTTATGTTTAGCATTCTTGGCTAACATACCCTGCTAGATCTACGTTAAAATTTGGGTATTGACTTATCGCTCAAACTATAAGGTGAATGCACAGAAGAAGGGTGTAAAATCTCTTCTAATGAACTCAATAATTTACAGTTGGCATGGACTTACGTGCTTACACTTACACCAGCCACTTGTGGTGAGGAACGTAATGATAACAACTAAACAAAAAGGAAACCTAGTAGTTCAGGACTACAAAAATTAATTTAAACTAGCAGGATGACTCAGAAACCTACAATGACCTGATACTAACTTCGGTGCCAAGAATGCGAAGCCGAGATTCAAAATTCAACCAGATGGTGGAAATAACAACGTGAGCACTCAACAGCGAAAACACGCTCTGACTAGACTTTTCGTTACTTCAGTATAAACACACACTGCCGTTCACCCTAGCTCATTTATATCCTGGCGAGGAAAAGCGACGGATATCAGAAAGGACTCTAAAGGCTAACAGATTAAAATAACTATTAATAAAAATAATATACCTCACAAAACAAATTCAAATTATTACTATCATTATATTCTATTTTCGGCCAACATTTTTAAGTCAACTTTACGTTCCTTGTATTTGTGTTTATTAAGCAAAAACAACACTTCTAATTTCTGAAAGCTAACACAGATTGAACTTTGTGTTTCAGTTAACTTAGAAAATCATTTTTTATCTCAGATTCAATATTCTGCTTCTAGCACGATTTCAAACTAAATGACACCTCGTAAGTGTTTACAAACGTAACGAGTGTCCTCGACAAATCAATGAATTAGCGAAATTTGTGGTAGCAAACCAAATTTTGAAGCAGAAATAAAAATAATTATTAATGGAACATTGATTAACCCGTACTTGGTTAAAGATCTTTATAATGTCTTTAATAAATTAGATCAAACATTTAATACATTCGATTAAATTAAAAAATATATATAGCCATTAAACTAATATTAATACAATTCAATATATTACATGAAACAAATAAAGCATTTCTCAGGATATTAAACAATTCCAAATCATTCACTCGCAGATTTTGCACAATATGCTAATATTCATCGGTGTTCGCATTTATGTAACTTAGCTTTTCTCGCGCCATTTCCAAAATTCATTTGCATTCTCTGCAGCTTATCATTTTCATTGGCTTATCCAAATCCAGACCAAATGGAAATACATATTAATGTATAGATAATAGCTGGAATTCAGGAATATATAGAAGTAATAATAATTAGAGATGAGTCAAACATCTGCATTACAATTTCAATAATAGATTTCTGTACACGACGTCTATTACCGTAACTAAACACCTGGAGAATATTACTCGTCGAAGAACTGAAATGCAGTGTAGTAAGGTACATAAATTTCATTAAAAGAGTGAAATCAGAGTTGATGATGCAAATGGCCATGAGATATTACGTTTCCAAATGGCGTAGAACACAAGTTATATTTATTTGATGAATAGAAGATAGGGGAAACTATGAGACTTCCTCGAATACTTGTTTCAGAATACTTGTTTCTACACTTTTGATTTTGTTGTTTTCTGCACATGAAGTACTTTTTGTTGTGTATTATAGACTGACTAAATTCACTATTTTGCATTTAATCTTTAAAGAAAGTAGACATTAATCCTGCTTCCAACGTAAGAAATCTATTAGGTGCTTGAAATCCGCATTGCAGCTATTTTTAGGTTTTTTAATTACCATTTTGCTGAAATAAGAAATCAATATTTTAAATTAAAATAATAGTAATCGTGTGTTTTTACAAAAATACTGAGAATTTATTTGAAGCGTAAGCAAACAGATGTGAAATTAAGGTGTGGTGTGGTGGTGTGGTGTATTTAATTATGGCCAAGCACACGAGGGCTATCTGCCTAAGGGGAGGGATGCTTTCGTGGAGGAGTTTCTAAGGGAAACTGGCTCGTATATACGTTACGCATGGGGAAAACCACGAAAACGCCCATCCAGCCAGCCCGTTCGCGGGACTCGAACCTCGGACCGAACTACCAGTGTTCAGCGACTTTACCGCTTGGCCGCTGGTGTGAAATTCAGAACAGATGCTATATACTCGTATTTACAAGTATAATTTTGTATAATTGTGTATGCTTTTGAAAGAAGAAATCAAATATCAGTTAGCTTGTATTAAAAAAGCTACGTTTTTGATGTGAGAATCTAGCGGCATTTTTTTTTTTTTTGCCATTTAATTTCTGAAAATCTGAACTTAGTTTAAGTTAGTTCTGAGATAGTTAGCTTAGTTCTGAGATAATTCTGCAAAAATGAATACCTAGTACTAATAGTAATGTGTACTGTTTTATTATTTAATCCCATTTAAAAGTATTTATGTGAAAGAATACGTTTAACTTTAAAACATTTGCATTCGACGAATACGTTGACATAATGCATTGGGTTTCAAATGCATAATGCAGTGGGTTGATATAATGCATTGGGTTTTTTTCGGTACTTTTTTGTTATCGGAAGCGGATTTAGAGATGTATACGTGTGTATACACATGTACACA